TATATATATGCTTTCCAAGAACAGCACATGACTGAGCTTCCAACACCCTGCACCAAATACCAGAGCACAGGATGAGACCACATAAATGAGTGCAAGTTAAAGTGTGAGGTAAGCTCAGGAACAAGCAGACACCATGCACATCCTTGGGTGAAGCAGTAAGTGCAAGCATAAACCACCTCCAAAAGTGAGAATGTGCTCTCAGTAACTGAGGAACAGTTTGTGTCCCTCTGCCTTACCTTAGCACAGCGTGTTCACGTGTCAGTACCACAGCTCAAGATAACTAGCTTCTCATGGACATAAGGAGGAGCACAGCAGCAGTAAAGCACATACTGGAGTCCAAATCCAGCTTCTTTTACATAAAATGCCTGCCACAAGTTGATTATACACGGACAGGATGTGCTGGAGCCCCAGCCTGGTACACTGTGCAGGGGCACGTTGCAGACTCGCCACGCACGGCTCAGCTCCACACGCAGCTCAGCCAACTGCTCAGAGAACTTCTGAGCCCTTCGTAGGAGAATAATTTAAATGCATATTAGCGAAAGAAAAGCCAATTTTCAAGAGTTTGGAAAACTGGTTTCAGCCAGCAGTGCGAGGAGAGGAGATAACAGTGAAACAGCCTTTCTGAGGCCTCCAGAGTGGAAGAGTGAAGTTTGCTCAGTACATCCCTGAGCTAATTAGAAATCAGTCTCCAGAACAAAGGAACTTCACTGGAAGCAATTAGAGGAAAAGCACTGAAATTTACTTATTTTGTAATGCAATATTAGCAAGCATGAAAAAAAATGAGCCACTACAAAGGCCGAACAACAGAAATTCTAAAGCCCAGAAAACTTCTCAACAGACATGTCAGTATCTGTGCTAACAAGGAAGGCCAACACTGATCACTGTGAATTACAAAGAATGCACACATCAAAAACCCCTCATTTATTGACCTCTGCTGTTTTCTTTACCAAATGGGAGGAAGAATCTGGTAGAGACCATCCTCCCCTAATTTGCATCTGGTAGAATAACCCAACCAAATCGAAACCAGCCCCATCATTTAACAAAGGGTTGGACTAGAAATGCTTTGCACCTTTTGCAACTGTTCTGCCAAAAAAAAAACAAAAACAAACAAAAAAAAAAAACACTTAAAAAAAGGCAACCTATATTCAAAGCTATCAGGTAGGCAATGGCTTTCATTCAGCAAGCAAATCCAATCTTTCCATGCGTATTTAATTCCTTTTTCACAGAAACAGAACAGTGGGTATTTTTAAGACAAAAATAGTTCCACAGTTTTGCAGATTTTTCTAATACCTAAGTTTTTAACAGAACTTCTCTCTGTGAGTGAATAAGTACATCTTTGTGTTATGTTTATCATCAAGATTTCCTGGGAAGCAACACATTAATGCATGTAGTTTTGCGGGGACTGCCTTTATGTAACACCCTTGGAATGATTCTCTCCCCAAGGTAAGCAGAACCAACCCAAACCTCACTGAATCAACAAGATCTTTCAACAGATCTCCATGGACATCAGACAGAATTTCTGATGTATTTGGGAAGGCAATTCCTCCAAGGAAATAGTATAACAAACCCCCCCACCAAATCTGTAAAGAATGTATTTTTTTCAGATTAAAACAAAAAATAAGCCATATTAAAAAAAGTGAGCTCTCTTCAAAATGTATCAACACCTGAGTGAAACTGTAGTAATTGTTTTTACACAGTTAAGACTTGAAAGAAAAATAAAATCAAGCAGAAGGAGAACAAACAGATTCTTCCTTGTAAGCAGATAGGACTTTCCATAGGGATTTTGCAGCTGATTTTCACCAGTCCAACCACATTAGTACCTGAAATCTCCTTTCAAAAGAGATCCAGATCTAAATATGCAGCTCTTCCTTCAAAAGTTCCTTTAAAGCATTTCTCACATTATTTTCTTTTGCTTATCTCACCTTCACCTTTCTGATCACCAACACTAACACAATCACTTTCCAGAGATGCCCATCTTGGGGGCAGTATCACTTCCAGTGAGAAAAACCCAGAGCACATACCCCACCATCGTTCAGAGCTCTCACTCGGAACCGATACATTGCCCCAGGAAGAAGGTTGCTAACAGTGCACTCCAGGTCAGGCCCATGATACACTTCAGAAACAACATCTTCAGGGGCTGTCATCTCCACACTGTACTCTGAGACAGGACAGCCACTTTCTGACGGAGGGACATCTAAAAGAAATCATATGATTTGTTAATAGCAGAAGGACATGTGCCAAGAAGAACAATCTTTTACTTTATATACCACAGAAATCATAGATTCATAGAATTTTAGGGGTTGGAATGGACCTTAGAGATCATCCAGTCCCAATCCCCTGCCCTGGGCAGGGACACCTCCCCACTAGACCAGGTTGCTCAAGGCTTCATCCAACCTGTCTCTGAACACTGCTGGGGCTGGGGCATTCACTACCTCCCTGGGTAACCTGGGCCAGTGTCTCACCACCCTCACAGGAAAAAAACGTTTTCCTAGTATCTAGCCTAAATTTACCCTCCTTCAATTTGAATCTGTTACTCCTTATCCTATCACTGCAGTTCCTAACCAAGAGTCCCTCTGCAGCTTCCCTGTAGTCCCTCCAGATACTGGAAGGGGCTCTGAGGTCTTCACGCAACCTTCTCTTCTCCAGGCTGAACAGCCCCAACTCTCTCAGCCTGTCTTCATAGAGGGGAGATGCTCCACTCCTCTTATCAACTTCATGGCCTCCTCTGGACTTGCTCCAACAGTTCCTTGTCCTTCTTATGCTGAGGACACCAGAACTGTGTGCAGTATTCCAGGTGAGTTCTCGCAAGAGCAGAGGAGGAGAATCACCTCCTTTGACCTGCTGCCACACTCCTTTGGATGCAGCCCAGGACTCCATTGGCTTTCTGGGCTGCAAGAGCACACTGCAGCTCATGGTGAACTTATCATCCAACATCACCCCAAAGTCTTTCTCCTCACTGCTGGTCTCAATTACTTCCCCAACCAACCTGTAGGTGTGCCTACACAGACATATATCTGTTTGGTTGTGGACACCTTTTTTCCCATGAAAACAAATGTATTTGATAATAAATGCATGTTATGGTACAAGTCAGTAACACAGAATCAGCCTGCCTGGGCTTCTGAAAAGCAGCCTCCACCAAAAGGGGTGGAGGTCTCCAGGAAGCAACATGGTATCTTGGATGCACAGGCAAATTTTTATACTGGAGTTGAGATATATCTGTCACTTGGAAATGGTACTGCCCTAGAATTTAGCTGAAAGAATCACACTGAAAAAAATCTTGGATACTGCAAGATTATCACAGTTACGAAAAAAAATTTGTTGGATACTGACAGGTGCCTTCCGTTCTGAAAAAACATACATTTTTGGACAGTTTAGTGTCAAGATCATAGTCTAAGGCCTTTGCAAAATTACAGGTGTCCAGTGGATTGCGTGTGTTATACTGTGGATCAGGGTTTAAATGCCACCCAAAATCCTCAATGTGTTCTAATGCAAATTTTTGGGAGAAGTCATGTATTAGAAGTAGCAAAACTTTTCTCATAAGTCAATACTGCAATGAAAATATCTTGAATCACACAGAGATTCTGCAATCAAAGGATAGATATTCCAATAGAGCTGACACTTTGTAGCCCTGAGAGAGACAGGTCATCACTAAAATGAAAATGGGAACACAGTGTAAGGCCTAATGGACAGATGAAGGACAGCTAAACTCAGACACCCAACACAGAGCCAATGCAGTCGATGAGATGATGCATTTCTGACTTGCTCAGACTTGACTGGACGTCGCTTTGCACTCCCCAGTGAACAGAACACACTGCAACTTTCCACAAGTAACAGAAATGAAAGCTAAGGCAAGGTCAGCAACTGACCATCAAGGTCAAAGCTATTCAAAGTGAGATGCTCCAGTAGCTTACCCCATTGCAGCTGTACTTCTTTGTGCTTCGGCTTGCCCAGAACTCTCGGCGGGCGGCAGTGCCCTGGTGCAACACTGAGCGTACGGACAGGTAAACTTTCAGAGCACTGGAAGAGAACAGAGCTGCACTTAGCTCTCTTGGTATGATTACCACCTGCAAACTGAGGCATGGTTAGAAAGGGGCCCAAGAACTTGTTTTCTACATCCACAGCTTAATAGGAATTTCAATAAACGACAAAGGAGAGAAGATGCTATCAAGCATATCACTTACAAATGCAATTAACAGTTATTTCATTAGCACACTCAAAACTGTACACAGGAAACTTTGATGGCTAATGTGGTGGAGTTCTTTGTTTTCATTTTCCTTGTTTTTAGAATAATGTCATGGCCCAAAGTACTCAATCATAAAAAGAAATAATCAAAGTAGCAGGAACAGAAGTATAGGTACTGAGATTGTTTTACATCAAAGAAGGGAATTACAGGAATCAGTTTCTGAAAAATGTGACCCAAAAATTTAATGAAGAATTCAGCCATATGAAAGATAATTGTTACAACAAAAACTACTCCTTACTGCATCTCCAGTCAGCACCTCTGGTCAGTACAGGGTCATGTACATTAGAGTCTGTGGCCTTTCTCAAGCAAATGCCCACATCAGAGAAACCTGATCATCTTTTCTAGTGTAAGCATAAACACCTACAGATTGGTTTTGAGGAAACCAAATCTTACTCAAAGTGCAATTCGCTGAACAAAAAAATTAGTCTTCTAAAATTCAGCAACTTGCAACATAAGATTAACTGCCATCAGGGTAACTTTCCCACGCCACAGGAAAAACACTTCCCTTGTTTCTAAAGCAGAAATTTTCTACAGAAAATAGCAGATAAATCTATGAAAAATATAAACCAAATAGTCCTTATTGTTAGATGATAGCTACCTGACTGTGTCCACCAGTGCTGATACAGCATGCCCGGAGTTTATACAAAGTGCCTGGTTTCAAGTGAGTACAGGTATATTCTGTAGCCGAGCCACTATATGCCACTTCCCACTGATTTGCTAAAAACAAGACAGATCCAAGTTTAGAGACGTACACAACAAGTTTAGGAGTGTCTAGGAGGGAGGAAAATCCTTAATGTGGTCTTCCAGAAATCATATATTTCAGGAAAGTTGTTAGTGTTATTATCACTATGAATATAATTCCCATTTGAAGACATAACACATAGACGCATATGCAAATACATATATTTACAAATGTATTGTATATAATGTACAAAATATAAAAAATCAATACATACAGACAAAAATAAATACTAATATTTCTAGGTTCAGCCATATAACCTAAAATTCCACCAGTATTAAGAGAAAAAGCACAAACTGAAAAAAGCCACACTATAAAAGCTCCCAAAAGCCAACCCTAAGTCCACCAGGGACCCTGTAAGTTTTAAGGCTGGAAGTATGTAACTCTGTTTCAATCACATGTAGAGCATTAGGGCATTAATGGTAATAACAATAACAGCCCAAAAGGTCAGGACTTCTTCATCCATAATGGAGTGAAATGGAGACAACTTGTTTAAAGTTTACCTTCTGGACTTCCTTGAGAAATCTCTAGTAGATACTTTAGGATTTCTGAACCACCATTATCATGTGGGGGATCTGAAAAATAAGGCCAGTTGTTAGCAAACAAGAATAGAAGTGAAAGTTAACAAAAAGATTACAGAACCTGTTTGTGACTCTGCTCCCTCTCCTCCACAAAGTCCCACACACATTACACGAGACATTTATAGTAGAAGTGGGTAACATATGTTAGTTTTCAGCATTAATCAGAGTAAGGTGGCTGGATAGTGATGACCCATACGAAGTGTATGGAAAAAGCACTGGAAGAAAAGGAGCATGGAGGCTTGGCCCATTAATAAAGGAAGCAGCTGGAATGATATTGCAACAGGACTTGACATGTAAAGTGAAAAGCCTGATGAAGTGCTTGAGTGAAAGTTAGTCAGTATAAACCCAAGAACCTTTGCATATCTCTTAAAATATATAAAAAAATATTAAGTTGTACAGCTCTCCAAACACACTCCACTTTGGATTGAGAAGCAGCATGAAAAATCTAAATTTCAACACATATTTACATCATTTTATTAGAATTTATTACGACCCCAAAAAGCTCCAAGTATGACATATTGAACTGACTTACCCCATTTCACACTAAAGCCATGAGATGTTATTGGCCCCTTGATAACAGGTCTGGTTGGAGGTCCTGGCCTATCTGGGCTCGTTGTGCAGACCAACACTTCGCTGGGAGAACTCTTCCCTTCCACGTTAGAAGCAAACAGCTGGAACAAAACCACAACGAGTTCACCCTTGTTTACTCTAACTGCTTTTCTGACAGTTCTGCATGAGACTTAGTAATTGCACAAATGACACTAAACTGGGAGGTATGGCACATCCCAGAGTGTGTGGGATTCTAATAACAGATATTAAATTGTCATGCTGATTCTTTACAAACTACATTGATTTTCCCCCTCCCTCCACCAGCAACAGATCATGACATGTTTGAGATAAAAGCAGTGCAGGTTTTTCCTTTTTCAAAAAATAACTTTTTCAAACAACTGTGGCAACTTGCAGTATTTTGCTCATGAAAAAAAAAGAAAACTGACAATAACTTGGCTGTTTTTCTTTTGGAGATATTTCAAAATGCCATTTAAAACAAATTAATTCTGAGTATTAGTAATCACACAATTAAAAGTCAGATCACAGTTGAGCCTGCAGCCAGTGACACCAGGCTACAAATTTGCTCTGATACCAACACAGTTTTGTAAAATCCACGTTTAATTCAGCAGCAGGGCTGTAGAGAGGTACAAAGTGTCCTCCTTCCTCAGCCATCCATGTCAGCTTTTACAACACTAAAAGGAATCATCTCTGAATGACACTGCAACAACTTCCCAATTCTTTGGGTAGTTCTTCATGCAATTTCACAAGGTCTCCTGTGCTAAAGAGCACAAAGAAACTCTTCCCTGTGAGGGTGGTGAGGCACTGGCACAGGTTGCCCAAGAGCAGCTGTGGCTGCTCCATCCCTGGAAGTGTTCCAGGCCAGGTTGGACAGAACTCTGAGTAACCTGATCTACTGGAAAGTGCCCCATCCACAATAGCAGATTGGAAGTAGGTGATCTTTAAGGTTACTTCCAACCCAAACCATTCTGTGATTTTATGATTTATATGAGCCTTTGGGCGAAGTTTTCTTTTTGCTGCACCTGAATATACAAAGACATACAGAAGTCAAATGCTTTTGGATCAATACAGATGTCCTGTGGCATCCTCTCCCTGTAATCGTTTACAAATGACATGAAGCTATTTCCAGATACAGACTCTGTTGGCAACAGGAGCATGGAGGATGTTGGCTTCACAGACAGCTTCTGGCCATCTGTGGAGGGACACTGTGCTCTGGATGGCATGGCCAAATGCCATCTCACGGAGCCACTAAAGTGGACAGACAGCCCAGGGGCAGGGACAGACAGACAGCCTGGCCACAGGGATGGAAGGACAGCTGCACTGTCTTCTCCTCAACAGCAGCACCCAGCACTGTGTTGTGACTAGTGACCTCAGCAGCACTGAGGTAGATGATTGAACTTTGTGTTTGCAGAAAGACTTCAGAGCATCACTCCTGGGCAGTCTGTTTAGGAGCACCGACAAAGCAGGAGATACCAACACTTGCTAAAAAAACACTACACAATGTGGATATATGAAACAGAAAAGCTTCAATTTCTGGCTGCCAGTGGAGGACAGGCCCCTGGGCTGGGGAGGGCAGGTGTGCTTGCTGGTGCCTCACAGCATTTACTCCATTTTGTAGAAGTGAGATGGGATTTGTGACCATGGACCAAGGTTTTGGACCAGCAGTGCAGCTGACTACACTGAGCCACACTTTTATAACACCATACCTGACAGTACATGGTACTGAGAACTGTACTTGTCCCCAAAAGGCTGAGCAACAGCATCTTCTGTGATAAAAGTAAAAATACAACTAACAGTTTAATCTATTAGGTCACATTATAAAGTAAATTTGTATGTGATGACTCAATTTTGGAGGGAGTACTAAAGCATTCCTACAGTGCCTGGAAAAAACCCAACACAGAAAACACCATGCAAGGACAAGAGGAAAAACATTTTACCCTGAATTTATACTGTGTGCTTCTTCTGAGATTCTTCACAGTACAGGCTTGCTCCTCTCCAGTGTACTTTGGGTGAAACACGCTATCCTAGAAGAAAACAAACCCAAAGAAATTTCCATAACTGCGGAGTCTGAGAAAGTGCTCCCTGTATGTAACTAGAACACATTACATCAAAGGGGCTTTATGAGAGTGCTTTTTTATTATTACTACTAATTTTAGGCTGCAAAGTCATAATAATTTTCCTCTATAAACTTGTTGCAGCTGCCCTGAAGAATATAATTTTGCTGGAAAATAAGCACAGAAACAATTGTGGCAGTTTTAACACGTCACAGGAGTGGAAGTGACAGATGACAGAACACAAACCCACCACAGAGCAGTGAGGAGGACATAGCAGACCGACCTGGTTGAGAACAATCTGCCCTGTACCTTACAGACTCCTGTGCAGCTTTCTAAGTAATCATGGATGACAGTAGAGATTTTTAGCTAAGGATTCCTAATTCTGCTGTGGAGCAGAACAAATCACACAGCTCCATCCTGCCAAGTACCCAGTACTCCTGAAAGGCCTTCCAAAGCAGCAATCTTATGTTCTTCTCAGTGATTTCCAATTAATAAATGAAAATTCAGTGTAAGTCACACACTTTATAGCAGCATGGTACTCACATTATCTTCTTCCTGAATTTCCAGGGTGTAAGAAATCACTTCCTCTGGTGTACATCCTTCTACTTTATTCCACTGCAATGAGATCCACGTAACACCAGCTCGAACAAGCCTTGGTGCAGAAGGGGTCTGAGGAATATTACCTGCAGTGTAGCATACCACCTCCTGGCTGTACCCACTACTCAGAGACAGAGAAGGAGAGAAAGGACTATTACAACACACAAGCAAACAAAACAGAACTGCAAAACCCTAAACCTCAATATATTTAGAGAAATATTGCACATTTTCAAATGTTAAAATTGCCTATGTGGAAAGAATGAACACCCAGTTAGGAAATGCCAGAACTAAGAATAGAAAAAAATGCAGGATTATGTGTCTTCACAGTTAATTTTATAGAACTCATCACAATAATACTGGAAAATATATTTGATTGCATAAACATTAACTTATTATTAACTGTTAAGTAAAATAAAATCTCATTTAATAAAAGGGCACTAAAATATAGGAAATAAAGCCCCAAGTATTCACCTTCTAGGATACTCAGAATACAACACCTATGAACTCAGAACACAACTTCTATTTAAGATACACCTTTGAAAGCTGAGTGTTCCAGCAAATCTAGCCCCACTGTTTCAGACATCCCCTCCAAAGGACACAAGGAAAATTTACCCATCCAGTCCTGCCCGTACATGCTCAGCACCACATAGGAGCTGCTTGCTACAGGCATAGACACCTTCCAATGCTCCAGGCTGGCTCTAACTCCCTTCTGACTTTCCCTGCCCAAACTTCTTTGCATTTTAAGCTGAGCATAAAGCTGCTCATTTGAACAGCTCAGATTGAAACCAGAAGAACATCCATGGCTGAGTGCACATAGGTTCTCATCATGTTAAATCCCAGCACATGATGTCTTGAAATGTAACAAGCAGGAGTTGAGCAAGTGTGAAACAGTTTTTTAAGACTCTGGGCAGAATATATTTACAATGGAAATCTGAGAACAAAGTTTAACCTAGACAGATTTTGGTGAAATTTCGTGAGGACAAAGACCTCTCAACCGAAGGCAACATTCTTGCAATTTCCAAATCTGTTTCCAAAGTACAAACATCTTTTGTGCCTTAAAAAGTCATAGAGAGATAGCCACATCTCCTTTTTCTGAGTCTTCTCAAAATTAACATGTTTGTTGAAATACTCTTATAGTTTAAAAAAAAAATCTACCTATAACTAACACCCAAACAAGACAAAAATAATCTTAAATGCTAAGTCACAAGCACTATAACCAACCAAAACCATCTTAGGACTCAAAGTGTTAGATGGCATTATCATGTCATAATTTTGAGTGCAGTCTATAAAAATAAGCCATGTGCTGCTGGTGCTTATCTCACAGATTAGCACAGAGCAGCTGACCATAAATATAGTTCTTAGTTCACTCCCTCCACAATAGCCTGAGGATTAAAAAAAAGAGAGAGAGAACAAAGGGAAAAAAAAGGTGGGGAGTGTTGAAACACACCCTAAGATATTTTAAAAATCTGGAATCTGGCAAAGAAAAGAGATGCCAGAACCGGGAACTTTGCACAAACCCTTCCAGTTACACTCAGCAGCTCCAGCTCAAGCCCTTCCACCTCTCTCTCCAGATCGAGTATTATTTCAAGAGGGAGGGAAGTAATATTGCAAGAAGTTGGGAAAAGAGACTCCGTGCACACATGTATGGTCTCATTGCATCTCAGGGGAAACAAAGGAACGTGAACAAAGAAGCTTTTTTAAGCTATACGTTACTGAGAGTTTGTGTTTTGGAAGAGAGAACAATACAGGAATCTCCCTCCGCAAAACACATTGTTATGTACCACTGGTGTTTCTTTTTGTGTCCTCCTTGTAATAATCATTAGATCCTGTTTAGATAAGAAGGACAATAAAAGAGTACACAAGAGCACTGAATGTTTAGCTTCTTCACAGCTAAACTTTTCCTGAGCACAGGAGCGCACAGCCCCTGCAGCATGTCGTCTCTTTGGGCACACTCTGGTCCTAAGCTGCAGAACATTTTATCTCAGTGCCAATAAATTCGATTTCTCATCATCAATGCATCTGTTCACATGCAAGGAAAAGCAGAAGCTGAAACCAATCTTGCAGGGCCCTTGGGTGTGCCCGTCCTCTGTCAGTCCTAGCTCTCTCCCCCTTCTTTCCCACCCCATCAGCCAGCCTTGCCAGTCCTGTGGAAGAAGGAAGGGACTGTACTGCTGAAAAGAGACAGAAGGCTTTGCTTTAAACTAGAAAAATAAATATATCAAGATTCCTTTCAAAATCTGTAACTCAACTTCCTCTTGCTTGTTTTTCTTGGTTCACAGAGGTCCCTAGTGGGAATTTTACATAACAGATGTATTCTTTTTGTATTAGGAATAGACCACAAAACACCATTTAACACCTCAAAAGGAGCCTATCTTCTTAGGCTGACCTCATCACGCTGAAGGTACACGGTGATTCCCTGGGAGGTAAATGATACCACCAGGGAAGGTGTGACTTACCTTAAAGCATTAATAAAAGAGCCAATGTCAGGTATCTAGCTCAAAACCAAAAAGAGAAAAAAGAAACAAAAATCCCCCCAGAAATTCTTCTTTACACTGCCACTGACAGTTAAACCTTTCCTCAAGACATGGTGTACCTTGAGTAACTTACCTAGTACCGATGTCATTCTGGGCTGCTAATCGGAAGGTGTAACCCAAAGCTGGGCAAAGCTTAGTCAGCTTGCAATGCTTCTGGCTCCCAA